ATGTTAGCAAGAGAGTGTGTGATACTTTGGACTTCGACAGGCAACAACAACAACAACAACAACAACAATAACGGAGCAGCGGCATATCACAGCATAGGACATGATAGGCATCCGCGAGATAGTCCTAACAAGACGATCCATGGCTGATGAAAACATCAGGCCGTCTCATGAATTGAACTTTCATGTACTGTTTCAAAAGGACGGTCTTCCTAGAGGGGCGATGCCAACCTCTTCCAGGATGACGCCTGTTGGTGCGAAGGCTAGGTGCCGTAGCCAGGCTCGTGATGTGTGATGAAATAGAAATTGCGAAAGCTAAGTCAACCAGTCACGAGGTCTAGGAATTGAACCCCCTGGCCTTGCACGGCTTTTAGTTCCCTGTGAGACCGCAAGCTCTGCGCAAGTCTCTTGCTGACTCACGCAAGAAAAAGATCTGCTAAGTGCTCAGCGAACTATAGCTGATACCAACCACGTATCGCCTCAGCACTTGTGTCCCTTCATCCAATGACAGCTTTCTCGCCATTAAGATTATTGGCAGCAAGCGAGGGGCCAGTTCCCCGGCCAATTTGGTTGACACCCGTCATGTCGCGGTTCTCACTAGACTGGTGGAGAGCGAGTTGATGAAGGGGTGAAGGTGAAGTCTGGCGTCACGAACCTGACTGGAAGGGGCATTGAGGATTCCCGTGTTTCGTGACCCGCGATGAAACTAAGTACTCGCGTAAACCATTCCCTGCTTTGCCTCTGGGAGCATGACGTTCTTTTGTTTTATGCTCTCTAATCTATCATGAACTTAGGACACCATATCGTGTCAGATTTCTGGCACTGGTGATGGTTTTGCTGGGTTGAGGTTCAGCAAACCGAGTCGGGTCATAAGTTCCTTTATGTAAGACATAAATGTAAGCCTTTCAGATCTTCAGCATGTTGGCGCAGTGGAAGCGCGCCGGGCTCATAACCCGGAGGACGGTGGATCGAAACCACCACATGCTATATAACTTTTTTTATTTTTCCGCTTTTCTTTTTAAGTGTCAACTCCGTACTTCACCAGAACGTCTTGAGTTTGAGAATGTCAAGCAGAAGATGCGCTCGCAACGTAGTCATCAGGTGTTCATGCCATATCTCCTTCTCTGAACTGCAACCGGACAGGTCAACTTTGCGCCACGTTCGATGCGTGCCAACTCGCTCATCATCCGACTGCAGTAATTGCGACGTCACTTCGCCTCACCCCACCACACCTCACCTCACCTCACCTCATCTCTGCTCTCCTCGCCCGCCAGCCAGCCAGCTGCCCTTGATTTCATCTTTTGTCGTCGCTTGCTACAGCCAAGTCACTTGTCACTGTGATGTGACAGCTCCACTTTCTCTCCTGAGCATCTGGACTGGACGGATGCGCTCGACCTGAACCGTGGAAGACTAGCACGGGCGAGCTACGGGAAGCGCTACTGTATGGGATTCGTCGAGACGCTCTAACTCCCTTATCCCGCCCGCAGAGCTGCCTCTGAGCTGCTAACGTCGTTTTGCTTACCGCACTGTATCTTCAGCCTTTTCACTGCGCAAGGGGAGAAGAGGAAGAAGAAAAGAAAAAGTTAAAACAGTCTGAGCGCTGTCCTATACCTTGCTCGTCCCAGCCTCTCCCTCCTGCGCTTCACCTGCAACTCACTCATCCTTCTCTGCTTTGAGCTGTTTACATTTGATCTCTTCAACCCTGGTTCTATCTATTCGTCCGCTTGCTCGACCGTGGACCGTGTCATTCGCATCTTTCGTCCCTGATCTTCTATTGCGCGGTGAGCTGCGTGGAGTTGAACGCTTCATTGAACTGCAACCGCGACTACAGAGCATCTGCACGAGCACTACATCGCATATACGCTTTCTTGCGTTGCGTTTCTGACCACTTGAAAACTTACTGCATTGATTTTGTTTCACTCTGCATTAACATTGTCTCCGTCGAGAGCCTCATTTCTAGGCCAGCAACATGGCTGCTGCAAACACGTCCCGTTCCCCTTCTACCTCCCCAAACCGCACGAACACATATGCCTCCGATCCTTCCC